ATTATTATTAAAAAAATTAGCAGTATAGAGGCTATCAAAATAATTCCAAATGAGGCAAATAGCTTGTATTCAGAACATACCTATTTAAGAGGTCAAAGCTTCTCTGCCAGGAACGTGGTGGTCTGTGTACCGACTTGCTTAAGAAATACTTAAGCTAAGAGTCCTTAAACCTTTAATATGAATTAGTATTTCAGGCTATCTGTTAACAGTGGGTATTTTTTTTTCCTCCTGCAGCAAGATCACACTAATTATTTTACTGCATCACTAGATGTGGGATGAGAGATTGCCAAGGTAATAAATCCAGAAGTTTATATTCTTAGACAAGAAAAATAGGCACTTGTTAAGCTTTAGAAACTTCTAGGTAAGGTTGTTTATTTTTCACTAAAATAGGATATTTCACTACAGTACATGCTGGGACTTTTTAAAGCATCTTGGTAGGGATACTGTACCAATTTTGGGACAACATGCAGATAATGATGCAAAGAATGATTTTGGCACTATAGAATTACACCATCTGTAAGTAATCACTATGTTGAATTTCCTATGGAAAAGATACAATGTATCACTAGTATCTTTAGCTTAAATCTCTTGCATGTTATAAACTAACTGGAAATCTTACTGATCTGAATGCTTATGAAGCACTAGAAACTAGAGAATATGAAAACCTGCAGATGGAAACTTTAAATATTGCGTATTTCATTGGAAGTCTCATTCTCCATGTTGCAAATATCAATTATTAAATACTACCAACATTACTTAAGTAGTCACTTTTAATCATAATATTTTACATGTATATTTATACAATCATAATGAAAGCTCCCAATGTGTTTTACAGATTACACAGCTTTATTAATAAAATGTGGCTATCTCCACTAAAAGCACATTTTTATTCAAGATAATTGTAAACTGCAATAGTCATAGATTATGCTAATAGACAAGAGAAAGAACATGAATAAATAAAAGCCATAGATAATCCCCCAAACCTAATTTTAACAACTATTTTGAATTTTCTTCTTTTACCAAACCTTTATAAGGGTTGCTAACAAGTAATAAAATTGACTGATTGGCATTCCATTCTGCCTTCCTTCTGTTGCTCACACACCAGTGGAAATGCTAACAAGCATGGAAACAGCTAATGGACAGGTAGTAGAGGAAAAAGGGAAGAGAAAGAGGAACAGAGGTAATTCACTACCTAGATAATCAGCTCATGAATAACAGAGAGTTGACTGAAAAGATAACACTTAAATAAGTACTGTAATAAACTCAGTAATCAGTATTCTCAGTGGATTCATGGCAGGAAAGAGAACTGCCCTCTTTACAACTGCAGGAAAGTCCATGATTTTTATAGAATTTATGCTGCAAAGAGGATATCAGGTCAGGCTTCAACCCCAAAAAATTGTGGTATTTGACCTAGAAGATTTAGATCATCTCAAAAATACCTTTGCTTATGTTACATAAATATTCTAAATTTACAAGCAAGCTGAAGGGGTATGCATTTATCATCATGTTATTACTGCTCACAAAATGCACCAATCACAAAATTCAAGGTACACAATACGTGATAATGTGGGTTGTTCTGCTCGTCTCCAAATTATTTTTCCCTTAATTGTCTGAAACTACAGACTATTTCCTTGGGGGCACTGGGAAGCCTTGTGAGAAGGTAAATATTTGGGTTCAATGGCCCCATGGCATGATGAAGAAGGACATCTATCTACAATAATCTTGATTGGGCATACAGTTTATCACAGTTATTTTTAACATCACTCCTAAAAGAAGATTGTATCTTTAGTTCTTTTTTTTTTTTTGGTCTATCACAACATTTTATAGTGCAACTACTTAAGAAAGTGTTGGCTGCTCAACAGCAGGAAATAGAAGTACTAGCTATGCTACATCATCCTCTAGGTCTCTTTCAATCTATTTGTTTTCTATAAGCAGTTTATATATATATATATCTGCCAGCAAACTCGTTAATAACAATCAAATAAAATTCTTCCCTTTTTAGAAATTTTACCTTCCTGGGCCACTACATATTTATTGTATTTTTTTCAATGTTCTCAAAGAACTTAAGTCTCTGTGTTTATTTATTTATTTATTTTTTCTTCCTAGGGGTGTATCATACTCTCATCACCTTCAGGCAATTTTACTTTCCAGGACTCATGTTGTATTTTGCAAAGCAATATTTTGACTTGCGGATCTAGAGTCTTCACAATGGCAAAGCAAACTTTAATGGTCTTGATTCAGAATGCTGAACACCGGCAAATAAGTTAGTGACCTCACTTCACCTCTAGATATACACTTAATATCACATATTTGTATTTGGGGTATTAAAACTCCTGCATTTGTCACTCCTAATTGGGTCCTAGGCAGAAAAAAAGCAGTTCACAGCATGCCCTTTGTGAGCTGTCATAAATAGAAACATGAGGCAGTGCCAAATTCTCCAAGGCTTGACAGCCAATGATTAGGATGTTTTAATTTAGTGGACATATAGAACTTCTTCTGACATCTAAATGGGTGAGTGCCGTAAGTTCTACCTTTTTTTTTTTTTGGGGGGGGACACATTCAAATTTAGACTAAACAAAAAGTAGCCTCAAGTAGCATTTTAAAACATAGATCAGCAGAGGAGTTGACTTTAGCATAACACTGAATTCAGAAGTATGTTGACAGTATAAAATAATGAAATCACAAATGAAATAGTTAAAATAGATTTTAAACCTCTTTTTCTCCAAACATTCATAACATTAAGGGAATACACGCACATAGGGAGAACTATTTTACAAAAATTTTGCAATGGTTTTTGTTTTTTTTTGTTGTTTGTTTGTTTTTTTTTGCTGCGGTCTTCCTTTTGGCTCAATTACTTGCATCTTTATAAAATAAATCCAACATGATAGGAAAACATGAATAGGAATGGTTATAAATAACTTTTAACTTGAGGGAGAGAATGGATAATAAACAGTGAAAGGACCTATTGGAACACACTTCAGGTTAGATTGCTAAACAGTTTTGATATTTTAACTGTAGGGAATTTTACCTTTGAAGTAAGGAATAAGAAAAACACCAGAAGAAGAAAAAACTTAAAACTGTCTTGCCTTCTGCATAGTTTTTCTTTGGGATAACCCTGGATTCAACACACCAGAAAATATAGTTTTATTTCTCTGTTACGATTCTTACAAAGAAAATCTAACCATGTGTTAATGACAATTTAATTCTCATCAGCATTTGAGTTTATAAAACATATTTTCCTTTAAATAATTTATGTCATATATTTAGTAATTTCTTACCCTGTTTCTTGATTTCTTTCAGAGTGAGGTTTGCCAAATATATGGGTCAGTTTAATTATTAAATGTATTTTTGTTCATAAATGCTAAAAAAGTCTTTATTGTAATAAAATAAAAATAACATATATACAAATTGTACTACTGACAATGCATTTTCACCTTATTTTATTTAACTCTCACAATTAGCCTGTGTACTAATTGCGAATAGCTAGGTTATGCTACAGCAACAATATCTAAACTTGTATGTCTCATTTCTTGCTTACTCTACGTGTTTACTGTGGATAAGCTCTGTAATGTATATGTTTTGCTCTGTATTGTACTACTCAGGAATTTAGTTTAACTGAAGCTTTATCTCAATATATTAATCAGCAATAATAGTTTAAAAATAATGTATTGTGCACTGACTTTAAAAGCTTCCATCCAGAAGTGACACATCATTTTCATTTCACAATTCATTGGCCAAAATGTGCCACATGGTCACATCCAATGCCAAAGGGGGTGGGGAAATGAATCCTTACCAATTGCTTGGAAAAGGGAATGCTTAGAAATATTTCATGAATGCACTGATGAGTATTATACCCAAAGAGGTAATTATTTTTCTTCCTATTTCAGAGACCCATTTATTTATTCATATGTGTATTCAACATATTGTATTGGGTACATTGACTTACAAACTCTCTCCTGAAAGAAATCAAGAGGCATGCCAAGAGACACAGAAGAGTGTGTGCAACAGAGATTTTTGTTTATTGTTTTTATTATTATTATTATTATTATTATTATTATTCATTTAAATTAAGTTCAGTATTTTTGTGTTCAGTCACCTTTCCTTTCCATATCTATTGAAGTGTTCGCAGTCCAATGGGATGGGATCTCATTAAACTGCCATTATTATTTCCAGTACTCACCATTATAAAATAGCCAGTATGACTACTGCCACTGGCGGGCCAATTGCAAACATGGTGTGCATAAATTAAAAGTTTTCCGTGATATGAAGTTAATCATAATTAAATGAAGATTTTAGAATGGGGGCTCTCTTTACTTTTTTAATCATAATAAATAAATAATAGCTTCGCTGTTTTAACTAGCTATCCCACCAATTCTAGACACACCTTTATGAGTGTGTTAATAGGAGCATATTAGCTAGAGTTGAAATCTGTTTCTCATGTGCAATTACATTTTAGTTTTCCTTTCTAAAGCTCTCAATACATGACAGGCCATAGTTTTGGAAAATAATTATGTACACATGGACATGTGTTAATGTTTCTCAATTTTTGCTGTTGCATACCTTAAGACACTTCCTTCATACAACCTTAAAATTTGGTTTTAGCAACTTATTCTCAACTTGATTCACTAACATATCTGTACAGTTGTGGGCCAGATAATTTATGGGTTCTCACTCTGCTTAATTTTCAACCACTTGTTAAAAATATGATAAACCCAAAACCCATGTGAGTCAAAATCAGTGGGGACATTTTTCCAATACAGTTATATGTTCTGAAGTTCATGCTGAATTATTTTATATGTTCCTGACTACTTCTTTTCAAATTTCCTATGTAATGTTGAATTTAACTCCTAATTCCTTCATAGTGTATCATGGATGATATAATCATAAATAATCCCTGAATTGTACACAAATATATCTGTGTTTATTGCCAGACATGCCTTTGTCAAAGAAAAACATCAATTAAGAAAAAGTGTTTTATTCAGGGATCTTGGTGAAAACAAGAGGGGAGAAAAAACTGAGTATTTTTAAACAATAAGGGAATCATTGGAAGCAAATTGAGACTCAGAAAACCAGTAGAAAGCTGACAAACCAAGGCTGGAAATTAGCAGAAGTCAAAGGAGCTCTGGAGGGTGAAGAGCAGGAACCCCATAAAGGGGATGCATCAGAAACCACACAATTTGCAAACCATTTACACTGTTTCTGGAAATCTGATGTCAACCGTTCCCTCTGCCACCAGCAAAGATCTGACTTTTCAGAATTTCTGATGGACTGAGCTTAAGTCATGTATCCAGCTACCGGCTGTATCTGTGAGTGGAAAAGGGAAGAATATGTTTTGTTTCCTCCAAACGAACTAACAGCTTATGAAAGTTTGCTGTGGGAGCATGAGCTCAGCAATTGCCATTCAAATAATACACAAATGATGAAATTCCTGCAGAGGAGCTATCAGTACAGCAGTTAGAATAGGAAGGAGTGTGGTGGGATACAAGACCAAAAATTTAAAAAAGCAAAGTATACACTACTCAGAAGACTCATAAATATATGATTATAAGAATGTTATCTACTTACCTATTTTTTCATTTAAAAAAGTACTAAATAAAATAGTTTATATTGAAGATGTTAGTTTTTGTTTTTTAATTTATTTTGTATAAAATTTTATCTATCTATCTATCTATCTATCTATCTATCTATCTATCTATCTATCATCTATCTGTTTTCTTTATGTATCCGTGACAGATCTCATCACTAGAACTATATAATCTCTATCATAATGACTTAGAAGAAATATACCAAAAACAAAGTAAAAGAATACTTATGCCAAAATGTCATTAGCCTCAGGGGTTTACAAAAGACTAATAAATAATGTTGTTCCTTTCAAAATAGTTTTTCCTTTGGGTGTCTTCTGGTTCTGTATGTTGTTTCTCTAATTGTCTAGGAAACTTCTGCATCAAAATTACTGGGGAGTTGGTATGCTTGCATAAATGCAAATTCTTGGGTCTCATTATAGAACCACTGAATCTGAATTTGGGATGTTGAGGCTAGAATTACACATTTTAAAGAAATATCCTAAGTATATTTGAAAATTTCAGACCCTGTGCATTACAAATGTTCTCAATAGCTCAAACCGAGGTTAACTTAAGTTGGATCAAGTTTGCTAAATAAGAAAAAAAACCAGGAAGATCAGCAGAATTTGAAAAGAACACACATCAGGAAATCTTTTGAAATCTTACTCTGCGCTATTTGGTCACTTTCATGTTTCAAAAGCCAAGATATTTGTCCTGCTATACCCAAAGTGCTTTAGGTGCTTAATCATGTTTTTAAAATGAAAGTAAAATTTCACTGTGGTCCAAAGTCACCTCCTGTTTTCTCGAATGAATCATATAAAATTTACTAGAGAGTTATATGAGAATTGTAACCCAAGTTTTTAAAATACCATTTCCTCACATGTGATTTTTTAAGGATGTTAAAAGAAAAGCTATTTTGAATGAAAGAGATGCTGCTAAGGAAAGGGAAGAAACCAGTATGCTTTTGGACCGCTTCTGGCCTTAGAGTGTTCTCGCACACTGTATTGAAATGAATGGAAGCAATTATAAAAGGAAGCTGCTGACCTTTCTGAAAAGGCTGCCAATCCATAATACCTCCTGCAATGCTCATCTCCTTTATTCGTGCTTAACAAACCTTGTCACCCTTGTCGCAGTGCCTCAGAACCCCTTGTTAACTTTTCCCCTTTTGTTGTCTTTAGGGTATTTGCAGCACGCCTGTCTGCTGAAATACCTCTCAATTGCCAATTAAAGGAAGTTTAGGAATGAGTACCTAGGGATGGAATTAACCTAGCAAGTTAACCTGGGGGAAGAATGTGTTAGGGATACAAATTCTCCACATCAGAGTCTTAACATATTTACCTGCTCACCTGACATACTGAGGAGAGGGTATTGGTTATATATTTGCACAACAATCAGAAAGCACCTCCAGTTTTTCAGGCTGTAAACAATTTGAAAAACAAACACCAGAATCTTCAAAATAATTCTCCCCACTCCCCACAGTGTGCTCATTTTCCCTCAAGTGAAAAAAATGCTAGTATTTAAGCCCCGTTTTGCAGAAACACTTATAACAGGTACCTGTATGTAATATGGAGCAATTCCTTTAGGAGGGTCTTATCGAGAATATCTTCTGGCTTTATAATGCCGATTTAACACATAAGCCCCTGGATCATACCTGTTTGGATTGACAATCATTTGAACGATTATTAAGAAGAGTTATCCAGAATTGAGTAGTTCTGGCACTCAAATAAGAAAAAAGAAATCCCACATTTAAATGATCTGTTCTATGAACATCTCATCAAGTTTTTGTTTTTTCTTATTTCTTTTGATTGGTGTTTCTCATTTTCTGCACTCATATTAATTAGTTTTCTTGAAGGAACATTTTAGAAAATGAGCCCTTAATACCTATAACTGAATGACTTGTTAACTTGCTTGCCCTTGGAGAGTAAAGAGAAATGAGATGGAAGAATTTAA